TCAATCTTGATCCTCAGTATAAGCATCTGGAAAGATTCTAAAAATGGCTATAAATAGATCAGGAGTCTACTTAGCTTACTATGCCATCACCCAATGGCAGCTGTCTAGAGGATGGTATGAAAAAATTCCACAGATAAAGCAGCATTTTGTTACCTCCTCTCAGCTTCCAGTAAGGTGCAGCTTAGGGACATCCCAAGACAGTAGTGGAACTTAACTTTTTAACAGCTTCTCATAGACTTTTGCCTCACATCTTTATTGAACCCAGATTTTGGTAAACTGTTGCTTTTATGTAAAACATAGTCTAAAAATTAAGGAGGACCACTCTGAACTCTATGTGGAAAAAAAATCCGTACTAGTCCTTTGCACTTTTTTCATCCCTTCCTCCCCACAAAGGTATTTCTTTGTGATGGCTGTAAATAACAGTCATGGGGAATAGCAGTTTTGTGTATTTTGGATTTTCAAAAGCCTTAGTAGGCAGAAGATCTCTCAGTGTAGTTTAGGGAACCAGCAGTGGTATTGGCATCATTAGGCTGAGAAGTATTTTCTTTTCAAAAACTATGTTCTCACTTAACTCTGCTTGCTTGCTTTTTTACAAGAAAATGATTCATGGTTAAAGGGGAAAAAAAATCCCTCTATGACTGTGTAATTAATAGAATCCATGCACAGAGAACCTTGAAGACACACTCAAAGCTCAAGATGAGCAAGCCTTTCTACGCTTCTGGCCAAGCATGACTTCTGTGCTGCTCCTGCTCTGCCAAAATGAATAGTTGAGGCTGAAGCACGTGTACTCACCTACCTCAAAGGATGGACCAAGTCCAAGCAGTTCTTCCACTACAGTAGCCAGGTCTCCAAGAGAATACCCAAACAGTCATGTCACGGTCTATCACTTAACCACATAGAGCTCCACTGCACATGTCTCTCTGTATCAGCTCATCATTTCCAGCTATGTAAGAATATACAATATTATGTGAGGCCTTGAACTTCGTACTCTGGCTATAACCACTCTTCAGGAGCAGTTAAGACTCCCTCACTGGCTGCTATGCTATCTAGGAGAAAGCCCCTAAGAATTTCTTTCCTTTGGACTATCCAGGCAGGACCACCAGGGACAACCAACCAGGTTAAACAGGGTAGATGGTTGATGAATTAGCACAAGAACATAAAACCAGAATTCTGACACAGCATGAACATATTACTTATCAAATACTATATTCCCCAGTAACTTAGAATTTTAAGAAATCAGAAGGAAAACAGAGTTCTGGATGTTTCCTTTTGGCAGACTGTATTTCACATTTTGGGCAACAATCTTGGCTCCTCTGTAATTCTTTCAGCCAAAATACTCAGACCAGCATGCCAAAAATCACACTTAAAAATCCAAATTTAAGCAGCTGAATAAAAATATCTTGCACTTCTCAATTTCTATTCCAAGAGTTGTACTCCTATTAATGCAACAATAGATGAAGATGCCAACATGTAAAATGTATTTAATGTAATGACTGAGCTAAAAGGGTTTGAAGAGAGAAAAAAGATACGAGTCAACAAATACATAGAGTGGACAAATGCACATGGGTTATATATTTACCCTTCACAAAGGCAGTTACGGAAATTTAGGTTGCTTTTTATTAAAGCTGCTTCTAAGTATGTGATGTTTGCAGCTGGCCACTTTACAAGACTACCATCAAAAACAGGTTGATGAAAGTTACACTCATCAAAATTGTTTAATCTCTTTTCAGTTTGCCTGTATGCACAGGCATACTAAACTGTTAGCTGATTTATAGGGAAATAATTCTAAGAAGGCAAGTGTTCTTGACAATGTCACCAATGCTTAAGAGTAAGCAGGTTTTCTTTTAGTAGGAAACATATGAGGTTGTTGCTTCATTTGTATGTTAAATTATACTGTGTCAGGTCTGCAAGTGCATTTTTAAAATGTCTTTTAAGAATCCTTTAAGTAGAAAAGATCTATTACCATTTTTCTCCATTCTTCAAAGCATCTTCAACCAATCAGAATGAGGAAATGAGGAAACCAGTTTCTGAAATTAAGAATAATAGTTGGTCTAACAACTTGTACTTGCAACTCCAGGGTGTAACTCCTTCTGCTGGAGATGGGAAAAGCTTGTGAGAAACAGCACCACCAGCCAGTGAAAAATTCCCTTTGGGCAGGACTGTAGAAGCAGCTAGTGTAGTTCAAAGCAAAGGTGCAATGTTCTGGACAAGTAAAAATCAAGTCTGCAGCGTAACAGTTACATTCTAGTCAAGAGACTGGCATAACTTTGCTTTTTTGGGAAAATAGCACACACAGTCACATGAATGAGGATTGGAGAGTAATACATGTGTGCAAGAAAGGTGACTATTACAGACATTTGGCCTGAACAGGTATTTTTGAGTTGCAGTTGCATTGCTTCCACGATGACATGTTTTATGTGAGATATTTCTTAGAAATGTAAAGTGACATGGGACATGGAGTAAAAGAACCGCAACACAAAATCTCCAAGTTCCACTGAACTACTAGCAAAAGGGGTCATCTGGCCAACTACCAGCAACAGCCCGTCTCCTGAAATTCAGGGGCAGTATTAGGGATTATTTGGCAACAACTCTACGTCTGTAGTAGTGTATTCCTCCATTTCAGGCTTTAGTACATGGTTCCTAGGGAATATTTCATCCAGCTCTCTCTGTTTCCAACCTCATGAAGCATATTAAACACTCTAAGAATTAGTTAAAAGAAGCAAAGCAAATGATTTTTTTGTTTCATCTTAAGTAGGAAAGGAATTCAGTGTTTGTCTTGCATGAGGTTTCTACAAATACTTTTGGAGACCAGAATTTCTGCTTCTGCTAGCTGAACCAGTTGGATGCAGAAACAACCACAACACGAAGTGTGAACTGGGTTGGAAAGTAAGACCCATCCTTTCTTTTTTCTGTACTGCACTTCACAGGGGAGACACCAACACCACACTGGAAACACTTCAAATAGGAACTGAGAGATCTATGCATGTTAATCTAGGACATGGTTTTCCTCTAGCAGATGCAACAGCCCTCCCAGTCATTTTGTACCATACCATGAGTGAATGGCATTGACTGGCACTCCTGTGAATATCCTGTCAACACTCTTTATGCTTCTCAATATGTTATAACTGTCCTTGCTCTAAGTTCAATCTTCTTTAAACAACACAGCACCTAAACGAAAGCTTTAGCATCTGAGAACTGAGTGATGAAGTATGGCAGTTTGCTTATTAATAAAATAAAATACAAGGTGTTGTGAAGAAAATTTATTTGGTCAACAAAAGGAAACCCAAACAAAACACTGAATATCTGACAAAACCCACCAAAACCAAGAGTGAAGGCAAATGCAGCACTGTTCAGAACCTTTTTCCCTCTCCTATCTCACACGCAAGTTTTTCAAATTAGCCACACTAGTAATAGATCTTGGAGACAAGGGGCTTTTAATTTCAGTGTTCAATTTAACTCTATCTCATCACATCTAAAGTGAATGAAGTGGCACTGAAATGAAAATGCTGCTTTGAAAATGCATAGTAACTACAAGGAAACCCAAAGATATCCTAAACTACATTGCAGACTTCCTTTGGTGCAGGTGGCTGCTGCAGAGGGCACAGCAATGTGTCTTAGAAACTATAGACATGCTACAGAGATACACCAGACACAACGGGTATGAACTGAAGTTAGAATTTTAGTTGTGACCTTTCTCTGTTGCCAAAAAGACATACATGTTTGTAACAATTAAAACAGCATAAAGTTCCCTTGCCCTGGCACAGAAATGCTGCTTATTACAAACTATAGCCCTTCAGCACACAGTGACCCATAGCATACAGTCCTTGGACGTGCTCAGGGTACCATTTTATAAGGAGTCAACAGTACTAAGTACTGTTGTAGTAATTGTAATACTAAGTAATTGTAGTACTAAGTACTACAATTCAGCCTCTCTTGCACTCACTCTACCTGGTCAGCTATTAGTGGGGCAAGCACAACTGACCAGCAATAATAGAGCGACAGAAGTGGAGCCAAACAGCCTGTGTGGATGGATGAGTACACACAGAGGCACATCTAACTTGCCCGTGTTTAAGCTTTGTCCATGTAATATGCAGGTGGGCATTGCAATGCTGCACTTGAAATAAAACATAGTCCTCAGAGCTATGTGGCTTCCACAGCTCCATATACAGCATACATACATACCCTTAGTCTACCCAACTAATAGGTCTTCTTTAAACCTTCAAACCAATTAGGTGCTTTTTATTAGAATTGCAAAAATTACTGTAGACATTGGCCCAAAGAATGCTTTGTCCTCTTAAGTTTCTTTTCTGTTAAACAGATCTCTAACTGACAGACACATATCAGGCTTCTCTCCTACTCCCCTTAATTAAAATACTCTTCTATGTAATTTTGCTTTAGAGTCAACTCCTGCCAGACAAGTATCTGTCTGGAAGAAAAACTTCCTGCTTTATTATAAACCTTTGAAAAATAATTCAAATGGTTGGGCTACAGTAACTTGATACGTTGCATCTTGGCCAGTGGGCTCCTGGTTCTCCAAAAAAAAAAAAAAGATATCAAAGATTAGCAGACATAACACTTCAAGTTGTGCTGTGTTAAACAGGATCCAAATGCTACTATGTTAAACAAGACTGAAAAATGGGACTACTCAATTTCCTAAATGGGAAGAGAAGGCAGTTTTCTGTTTTGGCATTGCTTTAAATTTTCCCAGTTCACTGAGTATAGACATTATTACATTTCTTGCAAGCATGCTCAAGGAAGGTGGGTATCAAATGAGTGAATCTATGACTTTAGACAGGTTTGGTATTACTGTCCCTCCTAGTACTATTTGACAACTGTGTGTAGTAGAACAGACTGTGACCATTGCTGACAGAGAATGTAAAAGGAACACAGAGCAAAGAAACATGCTTCCCTTGCTGTCCTCTACCCCTAAGCACAACCAAACCCAACATTTGCAATTTCTTCTTTCAGCAGCATAACCTGAGGCACTTGACCCTGCAGACCTGTGCCAGGTAAGAGCACAGTCCAGGTACTCAAAACTTAAGGGGGATAATGGGCCAGTATTTGGGCTGCTTTTTGTCACAGTTTCTGTCAAAGATAAGCTGCATGGCAGCCTCCATTGCCTGGATTTTGGGAGCATCAGCACCATAGAGTTTCTTCATTTCCGCCATTCGCCTCTCCCCAGGTCTTTCTGTAGGTGGCTGCACAGAACGCTCCATCCTTTTGTGAAGGTCTTGATCAGCCTCCACATACTGGTGCTCAGCCTCCAGCTGCTGCTGCCTCCCTAGACAAATAAATTACAAGAGATGTAAATTACTGAGCTATCAACATATGACATTTTGTTTTTACTTTTTAAAGATTACATTTAATGTAATCATTTAATTTAATGTGCTGGGTCTAGAGAGCTGAGATACACGTGCTCTAGCACATAGCCAACTTCTGCAACTGACAAAACAAACTGCATATTACTTATCTTGCTGTGCTCTTTATGCATAATGACAAATTTCTACTAGGTAGCATGATAAAGCCAGGCTGGAAAAGTGCAGAGAAGGGAAGAAAATCCTGGAATTGAAGCTAAAACTGCAGAAGACCTCTGTATTAGTAATGACAAGTAAAAATCAGCATTGCTTCATTTCACTTCAACACACACACACCCTGAAAAGAAAAAAACCCAACAAAACAACATCCCCCAAGCAAACCCAACCCAAGAGAGTTGGTTTCCAAGGTAATGACTTAGCAGCTGAGAGAAGGAAACAACGCATAGGACAATGCAACTTTAGATGAACCACAGCCAAGAGAAAATGCAATCAGTTACTACACTATGAAAGGGAATAAATCCAACTCTCATCTAAGTGTCCAACCTCAAGTGCAGCCAATGAAACAATGCAATGCAATGAAGAAAGCAACATGTTTAAATAAACTAGCCAACCTCTCCCATTTCTCAAGGTTTGCAAACTTCAAAACTAACAGCATTACTGCTGTTGCTTTAAAGACAAAAACAACCCAGCACCCAACATAAATCCCTGCACATCTATTAAAGAGGATTTAAAACAGGTCAAAGAGGTGAAACATTTGCACCAGTCTGTCATCAAAAATCCTCTTCAGTAAGCCCGATTGGGAAGCAAGAACTTGATTTTGCATGCCCAAACATACCTCCACTTCCTGGATGCTGCTCTAAATGGATAATAATGTTCTATGCAGTTAAAAGAGTGAAATGCTATACAGGACTCCCCTCTTATAGGAACATTTTTACAAGGTGAAGTAAAGCACATGGCAGTTGTTGAACTCCTTCACCTACCAATCACAAATAGCAGGTATCAAAACTACATCACAGAAACAGTTCACTACTAATAAAACTGTCCCTTCAAAAGGGACAGAATGTCCACAGCTCAGGATATATTACTCACACACAGGACATGCTTCTCAGTGTTTGGTGCCACGTACCTCTTCCTTTCTTTCACTAAAACAGAGATGAAGCTTTCACAAAACACGTGACATCTGCAAATCCTAACCCAAAGTTAAGTATCCTGATATATCTGTGTCAAACATCTGCACATTATTGCAAATGTAAATGTAAGGTAAAAACTTTATTTTTACACTGGGAAGTACTATACAGAGCAGCCAACTGACTTGTCTGTCAGCCTTACCAAATGAATTATGCCCTGTACCTCATTCACAGAAAACTGGTATTTTAAACAGTATAATCAGAAACTTCGATTCTGGCATCTGTTTCTACGACAGGGACACAGAAAGTTTTTGGTCTGTCATTTCAAACACCACCCACAGTTTTGTGCAGGAGTACTTGAGGGGTTATTAGAAATCTATTTCAGAGAGATGTTTCACTTTCTGTGATTTTGCTTTAAGGGCACACCCCCAAAGTGTGCTGCACTGCCAGAATTCATGAGGAAACATAAATTAGAATCCATATGTGGTTTTGGAAGAGTCAGATTTATTTGGTGTCAGGCCATTTTAGCCAGAAGGTCTGAATTAAAAGAACTAACACTGCCTACAGAGCACCCAGCTATGAGCATAGGTTACAGCACTAAGGCTGTGACTATACAGGTCATTTGCATCCCATTGAAAAAAACCTCACTGGGACACCAGACTGTCTGAAACTAGGTAGCATGGTTTTAAGCATGTATTTGATGCAAATTACACTGAACAGTGTTAGTCAGAAAACAAAAATCTCTGCTGGAAAACAAATGTCTTCTGCTGCAGGTTACACAGCAAAATTCTTTCAGGGCAATGAATGAATCAAACATGTATTTATTGACTCTTCTGGGCCACAAAGATAATTCTTTGTGTTTCTGTATTGCTCGCGGAAAAGTTTTATTCATTAGTGCCATAGCTGCATGCTGGAGACAGATGCTTCCTTGCTTGCTTGCTTGCTGTAGAATGCTCTCTGATAGCTCACTGCACACAAAAACACTTAAGAAAAATTAATTTCTCTGGAGACATATAATGAATTCTTATCTTTGGAAATTAAATGGGTCTCTAGCAGAAGCTTTATAAGAGATGAGTGGATTACAGTTTAGTGTGTATCAATCTCCATTTTGTAGCACAGAGTAGTTAATAAAGCCACAGATCCTAATGTTCAGAATCAAAATAATAATAATATCAATTTCAATTCCATTCTCAATATTACCTAACAAATGTCTGGAGTATGTGTTTTACTTTATAGTAGTCAGATGTACACTCTCAACTTTCTAACCTGACTTTCACAATTCCACAGCTACCGGCAAAAAAAATAATAAAATTTCCCAGTGACTCTATTACAGGGTCTTAAGACATGTAAATCAGGTCTACAGACTCCGTGGAGAAGTTGGGGACAGAAATTTCCTACAGGGACCCACAGTTGTTTTGTATCAAAGGCTGAATTTGAGGATAGAACATAGCAGCCGATGCTGGCAATACCACTGTAGCTGTGTGGAATATGTTGCAGTTTCAAACTAGTTATTTGTGGAGAGATACTGCCATGACAAACTCCAAACTCCACTGTCAGTGATGGCACTATTTGCTGTCATGGGCAATCAAGGAAAGAGAAGCCATACAACGAAATGAGTATGTAAATTACTGTTTTTCCAACAGCAGTATTTCCAGCCAAACAGAGAGGACAGAGGTGACAGAAGAGAAACGTTTGTGCTGTTGAGTTGCACACTGAACTTTCTTTGTTGGGGCAGGGGCTGGGAAGTATAACTGCTCATATTTTCAGCAGACTGGGTTCTTTCCATTACCTCAAAATTTACTTTAAAAACCATACGGAACAATGCAACTTGAACTAAATGTGCAACTACCTCTTCATCTAAAAGGTGACAATAAACATCTGACAATCAAAACAAACAAAACTGTCTATAGCCCTAAACCTACAGAGGCAATCAGAAATTATCTGAAGGAAGCACCAAATATTCATCCAAGAATTAGATAGCAAGGTTTATCAAAACATCAATTCTCAGCCCATGCAATGAAGTCCCCAGCTCATTCTCAAACCAGAGTTTCACGCTCCAAACCTGTAAGTCATTGTGCTGCCAAGTTATAAAAGTGAAGCAAATAATTTTTACACAGTTCTAAATAGTTTGTTCCTCCTTCCACTTCCAGTTCCTCCTTCAAACTAAAAGAAATATGCTTTCTTTCACAGCATTCAGCTTCAACTACTGGAGAATTCCCTCAGTCCTGCAACATATTCTGCAAGTGTTAACAAGGCAGGCAGCTGCAATGGTAGTGGATTCCTGTAAAAAAGAAAAGCATTGCTGAGATTTTCCTAACTGGTCAGTTCTGTTTCTTCCCAAAGATGCTCTTGCTCTCTTGAAGCTCTTTTCAGAATTAACTTACTCCTACCAAGTCCAGTTCTGCTGGGAAATCATCATTACCTGGCCAAAACCAGTTGAGATGTCTTTTTCCAAACACACTAAACAGTCTTTACTCTTCATATTTAAGGAATACAGAGATCTCTACCTAACTCATACAGCATCCTGGGACATCATCAGGGATTCCAGGCATTTTGAAATGAAGTTTTGGGTAGTTGTTTTCCACCCTGCTTTTCCTACCTTCTACAGATGACTTTTTAATCTGCTATATACCATCTGAAAATAAAAGTGTACAGACAACTACCTCCAATCCTTAGGGACTGCCAAAAGCAGGATAAGCAGTAACTACTGTCTTAGCTGTTTGCTGCATTTAAGGTTTCATATACACACAAAAGCCCTCTTACATACTTTCAGCAAAACTATGACCTAGGCCCTCCAGGTCATAAGCTATTTTCCCCATAGGCCCTTAGAAACTCAGATGTCTTGTTTCTTTTATTTTATTAAAAGGAAAACGTCATACGCTTTCCGTAAGTCTGATCCACTTTGCTCTTCTCTTTGTAATATCCTTTGAGAAGCTTAAGTAGTAGTAAAAAAATTTCCTCTCTGGAATCCATCCTTTTCTTATTACAAGAAAAAAACAACCAAAACAAGGAGAAAAAAAACAACCTCATAATGAAAACCCCAGGAAATCCCCTTATTTGGAGGGAAGTCTCCATGAACAGACTTTTCAGCATGGAAAGGAGATAGAAGTAGGGAGGTTAATTATCCATGTTGGATTTTTAACAAAACATTCATACTCAGCATTGTGTGGTTTCTTGTACCATTTTTAGCTCTTACTATTTAGACATCCAACCCTTAGCTCACTCTGGACAGTGAACACATGCAATCTGACATTTCGTATACAAGCAGCCTTCTCCACAGTTCTCTAAGTGCATACACTCTGCAGTCTGCCATGTTCTGCCCCACATAATGGTAGTTATGAAAGAGAAGAAGGGCTTGCTCCTTGTAAGTGACAAATGGACTTTACCGACTTCCATTTTTTTGTTTAGTTAGCACATTATTCCTCAAGGAAATACTGTACTTTTCTTGGCTTTGATCTGTTTTTCTTTTCCATTATTTTAGATTGACTTATACCCCTGTTCACATATTTGCCTGCTTATATCAAATGATGAATGATTTTCTGTTACTGCTGCATGTGCACTTTCTGAGCTTTCTCATCTTGTCTTAAATGCTACCTGGGCTGGTCTGGAGCAGGCCACACTACCAGAGTTAAAAACCCTACCCATTTCTACTGATTAAAACCTCCCAGTTCTTTCTTTGAATGCCACTTCCCACAACCCTATCTGCTGTGTTAAGTGTTCTGCCCACACAGGCTTCTCAATGCAAAATGCCAGCTTCTTCATCTCCCTAGAAGAGCTGAGTACCTTTAACCATAAACTTACATATGAGTTTTTCTGAAGTGATAGCATCAGACCATTTT